TTTTCAACATCAATTGCCCACTGGGAAGAGGAAAAAAAAAAAAAAAAAAATATATATATATATATAAAAAGCAGCACAACTGCATTCATCAGTGATAAAATTTTAAGTGATTCAGCTTAGTCATCACAGGTATAAATTACATTTATATTTATTATATTTAAATAAAATAAAAATATTTTATAATATTTCATAATATTACTGTTTGCTGTATTTTTGATCAAATAAATGCAGACTTGGTGAGAACAAGAGACTGCTTTCAAAAACATTTTTAAAAAATCTTACCAACCCTGAACTTTTGAACAGTAGTGTACGTGTGGGTTTTTAATAAAAAAAAATGTACACACACACAAAAAGCCACACAAATGAATAAAAGAACTTTGCCGTTAATACAATATTGAAATCAAGAATCCAGTGGAACACTGCACTTTGATCAATTAGAATTTTACCACATATCATGTATTGTCATTTGAAAAATATAAAACAATACACATTTATCATATTTCAACTACATCACTGATATTGACTCATATTTATTTTAATGCAATTTGATGGAAACAGCTGGCAACATATTATATTAAATGTGGGAGAAAACAGTCTTAATGGACTGAGTAGCTATTTAATTTTGAGATATGAATAAGCAATGATTTTGTTGAATGATCCAAAGTCAACATGCTAAGATAAATGCTGTGAATTTAAAGCTCACAGCACTGCTCCATAATGAACTTTCCTCAAGTGTCTTCTGAGATTCTCTGTTCGGTTGAATCTCCGTCCACAGAGCGAACAGTTATATGGTCTTTCTCCTGTATGAATGTGCTCATGCTTTTTCAGATCGGCTAAACAACTGAACCTGAACCTGCAGCACTTGCAAACAAAAGGTCTCGTTTGAATGGCACACGAAGTGTGCTCCGAGGCTGGAGGGCGTTGCAAACGTCTTACCGCACATATGGCAGCTGTGCAGAATATCCCTGCTCTCACTGACACTGGGAGTGCTGTGAATGCCCCCCGTTTGGACCATATTCTCTACTAGTGACCTAAGAATGTGTTTGGAAGCAGAATTTAGTAATTTGCTAGGTTGGTTATAGTGGACAACGCTGTTGGAAAAGGATGCGACAGGCAGCTGGTTGTGTTCATTTGCTTGAGGAACATCCTGCATAGGAACTACAGGAGCTTGTGTTGTCACATTGTCTGTCTCTTCTGTGACAGAACATTCCAGAGGCTCTGGTTTAGATTCCTCTTTGATTCGGTTTGAGCCCAGTGGTGACTCAGTGTTGCTGGTTGCTGGACTCTCTCTGCTGCCAGGTAAAGGCTTTGGGATTCTTCTTGGAGGGCTACTCTTTACCCTGGAGAGGGGTCTTTGGTTCTTTAAAGAATAGTCACAGGTCCCTTGCAGAGAATGATGTTTGTTGTCTGCATTAATCTCATCTAAAACCAGCTTTATATGAGCAGGACTGTCACTCGGACATTGTGGCTGCTCTGGCTGCTTGCTCACAGCTGAATCTCCATGATAAATGAGATATTCCTGCGCATTATCCTCCCCTGAATGAGGCTTGTCAATGGGAAAAGAGACTTTCTGGACTTCATCTAAAAATATAAAAAAAGATGATTGAAAATTTTTACAGATAGACGACTACGACGACAAGTTAATTCCACAACTATAAGCTCTTCAAAATCTCACTCGAATCCCCAGTCGTCCTCTCCTGGAGTTCTTTGAGCTTCTGCTGGAGGTTCTGATTCTCCAGGCGTGTTCTGGCAGACTCTTTCCGATACTCCAACACAGCCTGACACATGAGCTGCAACGCTTCCTGTACAGCAGCAGTGAGGAGCTCAGCTACATTTGTGACGAGGAGCTCCATCTGTGACATTTTGATGGGACCTGCTCAAAAAGAAAACAAGCTTCTGTCATTTACTTAACCCAATGTTGTTCCAAACCTGTATCATTTTCTTCTTTGGAACATAAAAGAAAATATTCTGAGAAATCTCTCAGTTTTGTCCATTGTCCATACACTGAAAATCGAAGGTCGCCAAAACACCAAGGAATCATATTTTGTGTTCCACAGAAGAAAAAAAGGTTTGGAAAGACATGTGGGCGAGTAAATAATGATAGAATGTTCACTTTTGGATGAAATGCGAGGTTGTGCCCAGGACTGCCTCTGAACCATAACAATGAATATAATAATACAGTGACTAAATGTATTACATTTCATTTCTAAAAAACTTATACAGGTTAACCGTGTATTAATGTGACGTGCATTTTAACAAACCTTCTCTCTTTGCGCGCTGGTCACTCAACACTACATCATTTTTATAAAAATGAATATTTGGAATTGCATTATAATTATATCACAATTATAATGACATAATAACACCTACCTCTCTGTTCTCAACCGCAAAAACAGAATATAATGAGACTACAATCTCAACAAGGCAAACCGTGAACTAACGTCCGAAAACAAGAGGTCTCTCATGATATTTGTATCTTCATGCTGGACCGTAAGTAGTCATTTTTCTTTCAGGAAATGACAAGGCTGACTTGTTATAATAATAATGTTTCTAGTGGGCGTGTTGTGTTGTGTTGTGGAAACCGAAGGCAAGCCTGCAACCATTAGCCGAAAAAGCGTAACGGCTAAAGCTAACGCTTCCGGTCTGGCAGTATGTGGGAAAGGAGACCAGGGGCCGTTTTTTTTTTTTAATGGATGTCAATGGAGGAGAGGCTTCACTACGATGAATAAACAGCTTTATAGAGGAAACGGTACGGTAGTGATGGCGAGATGAAGCCTCGTGAAGCATTGAAGCTTTTCAGCCTTTTATTTTTGAGTTGATTAAACATAGAATACAAGAACACATAGATGTAGCCAAGAGCCAAGTGGTTCACAAAAGGTTTAATTTGCTCACACTACCACCTGGTGGCCAAAGAGTGTAAAACAAGCAGGTACATTATAGATGACCTGATGTGATCTGTGATACACTGTATTTTGCGCCAGTTAAGGCTTAGAAATAATGGTGAAGAAAAAAAATCAATTTCCACATAGACTAATCTATTTATATGAATATAATGTGTATTTTCTAGTGGTATATAATGATTGTATAACATAACTGTGTAATAAACGTATTGGCTTGAAATGAATGGGGCTATCAAATGTGTGTAAATCAAGTTTTTGCTCATAATAGGCAGGAGGAGGGGCAATATTATTAGCCTAAAACTGGAAAGTGTCTGAGTTTAACAGGGCAGAGGACTGTGAATTTACAAGATTTGAACAGCTTCCTGAACCAGTCTGGCCAAGCGAGGCTTCGGACGTCATCAATGACATGATTGCTCTAAAGCAGGGTTCCTCAAATCTTGCCCTGCAGAGTTTAGCTCCAACCCTGACCAAACACACCTACCTGTGATTTGCTAATGATCCTGAAGACATTGATTAGCTTGCTCAGGTGTGTTTGATTAGGGTTAGAGCTAAACTCTGCAGGAAAGTGGATCTCGTGGGCCAGATTTGAGGATCCCTGCTCTAAAGCGACACAAGCCTCGATACGCGCTTCACTGGAAGCTCCAGGGATTTCTCGACACACGCTCCGAAGTCTCGGCACAGAACGTAACATCACTAAGAAATTGCTTATCATTGAATGAATCAACAGCCTATCTGCTAATCTTCAACATGTTTTACACTAAACAATACTTTTGGATTAAACTATTTTTAGAGTTTACCACGAAAAAAAAATGCTGTTTTATAAGAGAAGTCATTGACTTTGTAAACGGCGATTAAGTGTCGCACAACTCTGACTGAAATTCAATGGTGTCATGGCTATAATGTGATTGGTTATTACGGCACACGTGATCCAATACAGACCCTCTTATCTCCCTATATTAAAGGGGTCCTATTATGCTCTTTTACAAAGTGTGTGTTGTGATTGGTTAGCTGGGCCAGTGTGTGTTGTGATTGGTTAGCTGGGCCAGTGTGTGCTGTGATTGGTTAGCTGGGCCAGTGTGTGCTGTGATTGGTTAGCTGGGCCAGTGTGTGCTGTGATTGGTTAGCTGGGCCAGTGTGTGCTGTGATTGGTTAGCTGGGCCAGTGTGTGCTGTGATTGGCAGCACTCGGCGCTTGGTCGGGAAATGTCATGCCCCTTACCATAGCTGCCTGTGAGCTTCAGTGTAAATATTGCATCAATATCAAATCAATTTGAGCACGATTTAAACCCGGATGATTGTAATCACTCTAAGTTCATCTGCCTTGTGAAAGCTAGCGCGTCTCTGACAGTGATAACACTCGTTGCCTTCTCTAGTGCAGATCAACCAGGTCTCGTCCCATTCGTCAATATTTGTGATATCACAAATCCCGGAAAATACGCGTTGTAGTCCAAACGAGTCGTTCGTTGTAGTTTTTGAAAAGTGATTTCTGTTAAATAAAATATCTCCTTTTGAATTGGACTTTGAGCTTTGTAACTTTGCAGATCTTTTTTATGCTCAAACAGCAAAATTACAAACTAAGTTGAAAAAGTGAAAAAGCATAATAGGACCCCTTTAAGATAATCTCTGCTTGACACAATTGATCGTAATTACCATGTCATTTCTTCTGTGGAACATTTTGTAAAAAATGTTAAGCAAGAAACAAACAGATTTGGAACGACGTGAGGCTGAGGCCGTTACTCTTCAAGTTTCAGTTTACTAAAACAGTATACGCTTCAAGTGATTAACCATAAAACAGATATGTTATAGTTAACTGGTTGTAACCAAAGAAACAGAGTAAGCAGGTAACCCGCTATTGAATATTTGGCAACGTACACAGGAAGAAGTTTGCGCACGTACAAAAA